TTGAGATATCAAAAAAGTACTCCAGAGTGTTGTTCAGCATGGGGGTGAGTAGAAAATGAAGGCTAATCATGTTTTGGGTGTACTATTCCTTTAACCCCACAATGCTCCCTGGGCACGGCACAATGGCAGCCCAATGCTCCCCAAGGGGATGAGTTCAGTGCAGACAGTTCATTTCATTGCTCTGTATTTGTGGCGCTGTAATGACAATAAAACGCTGAAAAAAGCAAACAGAAGACTAAACTAGTATTCTAGCAACAATGTATCGCAGTTACGATATTCTGCGATACATGGAGTTATCAACGGCACCCAAATCTGTCGACTGACTCTGGAATCACCTTAATGAAGTCACATGTCATTTAAAAACGTTCATTTTGGTTCATAGACAGCATAACTTTTAGTCTTTTCTACGTCATACACCATTGCTGCCCAAGCTTGATAATCTGTTTGAGGAACAATGAATCATGGGAAACGATGAACCGCAACGGATGCTCTGAACCCTGCTTCAAAATCTGGTAAATAACGACACATTTATCCGACATATTTGAAGAAGTAGTCAGGAATTGGGGAAAAAAAGAGGAGGGTCATCATCATGCTAATGTTTTTAATCAAGAATGTAGCTTTTTTTAAACTGAAACGTCTGAGACCTGAGGATGTGGTGGAGGTGGAGGTGGAGGTGAAGGATGAGGTGAGGTGGAGGCCACTTCCACCTCGTTGCATCCTGATCAGAATACTGAGCAATGGATGCTTCTACATGAGGAGGTGGGATCAATCAAAGTCACCCAGATCCCTGTTTGTTCCAACAGGAAGCTCTGTGCCGCATCATCAACACCTTAGCCAATAAGAATGAAGAACTCCAGAATTTTCTGGACTCGGTCGACAGCACTCGGACGGGCCTGCAGGTCAGCAGCTCATTGGTGGAGAGCTACAGTGGCAAGGTCTCTATAATCAATTAACGATGAATGAATTATCCAATCAGGAGGAGTCCTGTAAGGTGATGTCAGAGCTGGAGGTGGAGCTAGAGAAGCTGAGCTCCGCTTTGGAGGAAAGAGGCGCTCAGCTCCGTGACATCATCAAAGAGGAGAAGCAGAGGAAGGAGGCGGAGCTTGAAGTGAGGCTTTGGATGACGTCACAGTTTTTTTTTAAATGTTTTTAATGTGATGTAAAATGTTTGTTTTGTTTATCCGGTTTGTAGCGGCAGCTTTCAGAGGGAAAGTTTGCTCTGCTGTCCTGCAAGGAGCTGCTGGACTTCGCCAATCAGACACTGACCATTACCAACGAAGAAGAATTTCTGACGGTAACTAAAACCACAATTAAATACGGTGTAGGAGGAATTATTTTTTGTTGATAATTAGGTTTTTTTATTCTACTTAATTGTTTGATATTTGTTTTAAAATTACGTTTTTTGGTTAGTTATGTTTCTTTGTTTCTGGTTAATTATGAGCAATTTTGGTGAATGAAGTTTCTAAATAGGCTGCCATTGTAGCCTGAAGACACCGCCCCTCATTATCA